CCGCCGCTAAATGGGATCAGTTTTGGTAACGAGTTAACGAGTTGATTTCACTCCAGCGATTGCCGCCGCCGCCGCATACGAACCGGATTAGCAGTCCCACCCCCCCTCCTCCACCTCTCAGATGCTCCCTCCTATACCCCATCCCCATTCCTGGACCACCGAATGTCCACCGAACCACCGACCGATCCGGCTCCATCTTTGTCTGCGGTGGCCATGGCCAATGTCTACACACAACAAGGTGACGGCTCATAATGACGGGCCATGGCCAAGAACGTGAGCCCAGGGTTTCTTGGCCAGGCTGTGTGTGTTGGCCAGGTTGGGGCTTTTTGGGGCCGTTCGGCTGGGATCAAAATCGAGCTGCGTTGAGGCGTTTGCACCTCCCATGGATGAGTCGCCAGTGTCAATGGCACTGAGAGAAAAATAAATTTCTTATTGATCTAACAAAAGGCTAAATAAAAAGCATTAATAAAATTGCCAAAAAATGAAGAAACAAATATTTAATAAAATGTATGATTTAAAAAATAAATACATAATAAATAAAAAGAGAACTAAACCAAAAGTAAAGAAAAAAAATCTACAAATCACTAAAGCCTTTTAATAAATTTATTTTAAGCTTAAAAAATTTCCTTAAAAATATAACCATTTAAAATTTTCTTTAATCCATTTTTCCATTTAATATTTATAATAATTTTCTTAAGTATGCCCCAATTTCTTGCAGTTATCGTGATGAGGTTGCTGCATTCGAATATTGCCAGCAAACATGCCCCTTCTGTAGCTGCCGCTTTGCGGGTCTTTGCCAAAAGTGGGCGTTACCCGGTGATCATCACGCATTTGCGAACAACCCCTCCCCCCCTCCCTCCTGGCTTTCGCCTTCCTCCCTACCTCCCCCTCCCTCTCTCTCTCTCATATATTTGCAAAACATCACCGGACCCGGCAACCTTAATGGGTGTTATTTTGTTTTGCCGTAAATATTTTTGGAATGGGCGCTAATTAAGTTTGGCTCTTGCAGTTTCTTTTTTTTTTTTGTATTTTTTTGTTGGTTGCACATCCTTCGCACTTTAGTTATGTGTGAAACTTTTAAAAAAATTTTGGTTCGGTCGGCAAACATGAAAACCCCTCAAATTGGCGGGCATTAAGATCCCCGAAACCAGCCAGCTGACGCCCCTTCCTCGTTTCCACCATAAGAAATATTACTCATACGCCACGTGGTACGGTCAGTATGTAGCAGTAGTAGTGATAGTAGTCATAGTGACTAGTAAGTGAACGTAGTCGCTATTGGAATCTATGAATGAAAAGTCAACCGACCAGAAAATGAGTAAAAATACGATGACACGACACTGCAACAAATTTTAATTTTTTTTTGTTTTTGCCATAAAATATATGTGGCATGCCTTTATGAGTCATTTCCTTTGGACTTTTGGCTTTTGGCTGGCTTTTAGTTGCTGTTTCAAATCGATGGGCCAATAAATTAGCATTATGCGGTTACAAATCCTCTCTCCACAAAAAAAAAAAAAAAACAAATAAAATCTTTCACTGCCACCAGCTTTTCGGATGAGCTGGCCTTTCAAAGATTTTTTTTTGGGTTCAAAGTTCTCCCGCGAACTTCTTATCAGGTTTTTTTTTTGGTTTTTCATTTTTTATGGTCAGCTGTTTCATTCATTTAATCATTTAAGCTATCTCGTGTTTGATAAAAAATGCGATTTGACTTGCTTTTGGCATCGGAAGTCATTGCTATTATGTCTTTCCTTTTATAAACAAATTAGCACGAGTTTTTGCTAAGATTAGATTAATAGAGTGTTTGTGTTTGTTTTTCTATTAATGAGGAAGATAATGTAATCTTATATTACCTCAAAAGTAAAAGTGTAACTCTAAAAAAGAGTTGTTAATCACTTAATAAAGCAACTAAGTAGCTTCTGGAACAAGAACTAACCAAAATAGCCTACTCATTTTTTCGTTCTTGGTATTTATTTTATTTTTTAAATTTTTCTAGAAAATAAATTCGAAAAAATTTAAAACGAAGTAAGTAAAATATATATATTATTTTAGTATGTGTTCTAAAAAGGATTCTAGGATATCTTAAGAATTTCTATGCAAGTTTAAAACTTTAAATTTTGAAATACTCATTTAATTATCAGGCATCAATCTTCAGCTATATTTTCTAATTAATTCATAAATATTTTTTACCTTTTTCTAAAAACATTTCCACTGTTAGAGAGAGAAAAAAAAACCTACTGGTAGTAAACCTGATTACGTGACTACTTACAATTACTATTCCATTCATGAAACTCAAAAGCTTACCTAGGTATACCTAGTTATACACGAAAGTATTCAAGTATTTCCCCCTCCATTTTTTACAGCATCCCCATAAAAACCAAAGAATCTTGTTCTCTATTTTTGTTTTTCATGCAATTTGTTAATCATTTTTTATGACCCAGAGTTGTAAACCCATTTCCATATTCCACATACATACCCTCAAATGAATACCAATATTAAAATCATGTTCTGTACGCGTGTCGCCCTCCAGACGTCAGATATTACTCATCCGCCACCGGTGCCCTGGTACTACGGTCACTATAGCAATGTAGAGTGTCAGGCCATTAGAGTCTTACAGAAAAATAATGACGATAACGATTACGATAATGAATTGTAGTCTGCCAATTGGACAGATCAACATACGATAAGCCAGGCAGATACCGAATAAGCTAAAAAAAAAAATTGCCAAAAAAAAAAAATCCGTGCCAGTTGGTTCGACACAATAGTTTAAAAATAGACGCGAATTGTCATGATTGACAATCGAAACAATTCCGTTTGTTGATTGACCGCCCTGGGTTTTTGTTTCTGTTTTTTTTTTTTTTGGAGACGTCTCCGACCGCTGTGAGTTCATGAGTAATGATGAGTGCTCACAAAATTTGTGTCTTTTTTTTTTTTTGGGGCATGGGAGTGAAATTTTTAGACCATACAAGACCCACCCACTTCCCTCCTTTGGCTCACTGACTGTTTCATGAATGAAAATGACTTGTGTCGTCATTGTGGCGGGCAGACGGTTCGTATGAGTAATATTCTTGCGAAATACCGAAACGGAAATAACTGAAATTCATGCTCTTTTTCTCTCAACTCTCAACTCTTGAGTATTATTTGCAGCATTTGCATTTGTTATTGTTATTGTAACCGTTTGTATTCGCGGGAGTCTCACATAATCGGAAGTCTAGGTCGTCGGCGCGAGTGAAAGTCATTCGATAAGCGACCACATATATAGTATATACATACATATGTGTAAATAGAGTTCTATAATATCGGGAGACCGGCAAAAATCTATTTGCCTTTTTGTTTATCTGCGAGAACACCAAGCTCAACACTCTCTCACATTCTCTCTCCAAATGCCTAGAAGAGAGTGCGGAGAACCAGAGAGTGAGTGAGTGATAAAGATCGTTAAACGATCGGAACTCGTAAGGTCGGGAATTCGGAATCGGATATTCGGAATCGGAATCGGGGAATCGGAAATCGGAACGAATATGTGTCATCCGCATAGGCGTGTGGCATTCTATTGCTACCCATGTTGAAATTAATTACTTAATATGGCCATAACGAACGTAGGGGCGTTTTGTTGCCAGGGGTTAATATTTAACACGTTGGGGCTGAGCAGTTAGGCTAATGAGCCCACTCAAAACATATTACTAATCTTATTAACTTGGTCAGTCTTTTAGGGATTGAGAGATTGGGAAGTGTTTATTCAAATTTTATTTTCTTAATTTGGATAAAAATTATCTGTCTTATTAATATAATTATATGGTTATTTTATATAGAATTTAATCATTTCTTAGGAACTTTTTCTTGGGAATACGAATTTTTGCCAAAAAATTGAGATAATTACATTTTTTTCAAGAAATATGTTTAACTTTAATGATTCAGCATAGTGTAAAAAATGATTAAATGGTATTTTTATGTTAAATTTTGTTATAAATAATTCCTACATTTTTTTAAAGCTTTCCTTATTATCCAAAAAAGCCAAAAATTTAAATATCACTACTTTGAAATCTTTTAAAATATGTTGAGCTGAGTCTTCACTATTAGTTGGAAACTTATATACAGTTTTGGTCAGTTTTTCATATTAAAAAAACACATAAATTTATTTGTTTCCATCATTATTATAAACTATGGACATATAAACTAAATTATTTCTTAAATCTATAAGACAAGTGTCTAAAACTTTCAGGGACTTGATTTTAAGACAACACTTTTACTTAGATTGTTACTTAGTATAGGATAATTTTTAAGATTGTACTTCATTCCATTTTTAATTAGGAACTGTAAGACTTTAATGTAGAATCTCCGATTTTCTTTAAAAAGATTTCGATTTCCTTTTTCTTTTTTGATTTTTCGGGTATATTTTTTTAATGTTCCTAATACAGGAAATCATTACCTCATTAGTCATTTAATATGTTGATGGTGACCCCGATTCATTGCACATTTTCTAGAATTTTCTTTGATTGATTTTTATTTATTTTTCATAATTTTTTCTATTGAATGTCACCTTTTAAACCTTCATAGTTTAGAACTAACAGTAACCCCCTAAAGAATTAGGATGTCTTTTCCCAAAAAGGGTGACCCAGATTCCTTGGGCCTTTGGGCTCGCCTTTGGGCCAAAAAAAGTGCTTGAGTGCTTTTTGTTCAGCCTTAACACTCAATGCCGACGAGCGGGAGCAAAAAAAAAAAAGGGTGACCCCCACTCCAATGTCTCTCTTGCCCACTCTCAGGCTCTCTCGCTCGCCCCCGTGGTTGGGCTTGGGCTGGGGGAGCCGACGCCTCCTCATTAGTCGGCTCATAGTAACTGAGGAGCTCGGTTCGCGGGGCACAGCTAATGCGAAAAATATTATATATATAAATAAGGAGAAGAAACACTATTGCCACCGAGAAAGTCACTCCAACCAGAGCTTCACTCACTCCACTCTCTTTTTGTTATTTTTGCTTTAATATTTTTTTTTGAATTCTCGCTCTCTCCATGGGTTGAGAAATCGGCAGCAACTTCGACAATTCGATCGGTTTCGGAATCAAATCATAGCGAACAGTCGAAGGCAACGCGTCGCTACTTAACGCGAAAGTTCCATCAATAAATATATATTTTCTTACCAACAAGTTGCCAACAAAAAAAACATACATTTTGGCCAAGTTCGCGTTTAAGAACACAATTTTTTTTTTTATTTTATTTTTTAAATTAAATTATTAAACGCCTTAAAAAAAAAAACTAAAAACACAAAGTGAAGTGCCAACTCAAAGACAATTTTGCAAAAATTTTATGCAAAATTTTGTAAAGCCAACGATTTTTATGTAAATGGTAAGTAAAGTGAAGACTTAGTTTTATTTTAAGATTTAAACACCTGTTGCTTTATTTTTGTGAAACAAAATTATAGGAAATATTAATGAATTTTTGTTTTTTTTTTTTTGCCATAAACTTCAATAAGATGAAAAAAAAAATCAAATAAATATAAAGCAAATCGTTAAAAACATGTGAAATTAATTTACACGTTCCGCCTGCCCAAAGGGGGGATGCGTCAGTCAGCGATAAAGACGGCAAGTAAATGGCCAGAAAGAGAGAGATACAGATAACTCAAGAAAGCCAGTCCAAGTCTACATATGTATGAATTTCACAAAAGTTTGCAAGAAGTATTCCCTGATTTTGTTGTTGTTTTTTATTTTGACCAAGTTCGTTGACCATCTTCCCCGATAGATACTATTTTACTCGGCCTACCCCACTTTAGCCCAACTTAAAACTAACTATGATTCAGTCTGAAAGTACAATTTGTTTGATTTCCAAATAAAGAAATTTATTTTTAATTTTAAATAATTATGTCAGCCAGATAATGGAGTAGCACGACGAAAAAAAAAAAAAGTGAGAGAAATAATACGATAACAATAAACAAAATCACGCACGCTTCGGGCCCCCCAAACAATTGTGCGATTATGTCCGAGCGGTACCGACCGGGAATCCCCCAAACACCACAATCGTCGACGTCGTCGTCGTCGTCGCCCACTCACTGCCCTCTCCTCTCTTTCGCACTCCCAGCCATAGAGTCTCACGTGCGCCTCGTACCTCTCGCTTCCACTTCCAAAAAAAAAAAAAAATAAATAAATAATAATATATATATTTATGCGAATCGTTGAAAGTTAATATATAACCAGTCGGTTTAGTAGCTTTTTGTGACTTATGGTAATTACTCCCTCGTCTGGCAGATATTTGGCTATAATTCGCACGCATGCCCGAAAGAGGGGCTCTGGACCAGGTCCTAAAAAAATCACTCAACTGGTTATTACCAGTCTCTGAGCCAACTTCTTATCATAAATTCTAAACTTGGCCAGCCAATGTGGCTAGAAAGTTTCCCAAAAAAACAAAAGAGGTTCGTGGGAAAATATTTGGTTTGGAACTCAAGAGTGCGATTTTTAGGGGGTTTTTGGAAAATAGGAGTATTTTTTTAAAAGCTTATATTTTAAACAAAAACTTTAAGTAACTAACCATTAATATTATTTCCCTCCCCACAGACGACAGCTGCCTGTCCGCTCGACGTCGGCAGTAGCAGAAGCATCAAAACGGCCATCGCACGGGCAATAACGGAACCGGAACCGGAACCGCAGCCTCCGCCACCATCGCCATTGCCGTCGCCGTCACTACGTCGATCGCAGCGTCGTTCCTGGTCGCTTCTGGCTTTCGTCACCATTATGTGCCTTCTGTTGCATTTCGGCATTGATGGTAGTGGTGGTGGTGGCTTAAGGGGCGTGGCAGCAGCACCTCTACAGGACACATCCGCCTCCCAACAGGATAGCAATAGTGTGGAGGAAGTGCCAGTGATTGCCGGTTCACCATCGCAGAAGCGCCTCCACAAGCGTCATCATCCCAACTGCAGTTTCCGGTGCCGATTCCAAACGGAACTGAATGCCAGCCTGGAGGTCCTGGACTGGGAGAATAGCTGCGGCGGCAACTGGACCGGCCGGGAAATTAAATACAAACACAGGCCAAATACCAACAAGAAGAGGAGGATGGTAAGTCTTAAATTTTATGTTTAAAACTTAGGTCTTTAATCAGGTTTGGTTTAATTTTTCCTCAGATCCTCAAGGGCCTGCATGATCAGACCAACAAGGAGCTGATTATCCTGCAGGATGACGACAAGAACCGTCGCACCACCAACTCGGAGAGGGAACTGGCCAAGAAGTACAACAAGGCCATCGACTTGAAGCAGCGAGAGAGGATGGCTTTGCACAAAAATCAATACAATTTTTTGCCAAAATTAAATGCCACTAGTTCTCAGGTTAGTATTTTCAAAATTTTGTTAAATATTTATTTAAGAAAAAGTTTAAGAAATCTCATCTTAAGCTCAAGATCTCAAGATCTCTCCTGTTGCCAGGGGAGCTCACCTGGGAGAGGTGATAAAAAAAAAATAAAAAGGGGGGACTGGCAGACCCGGAGCCCTGAGAGACCCGAGGGGGGGTCACGTGCTCACCTGCGTAGGTGCAAACAGACCGTCACAAGTTTTAAATGCCCGCGTTTCGGTCATATGAGTTTCCAGTCCGAGGAATCGTGCCAACTCTAAGCGAGAGTGGCTCTAAAAGTTATTACTAAAAATTCAAAAAAAAAACTTTAAACCATGAGGTATATTTTTTAATTAAAATAAACTATTTATGTTTAAGCATAAAAATTGGCACTTAAAGTTGTAGGGTTTATGTGACTAACTCATGGACCGCACCTCGCTACGATTCGTCAGCATTTTTTCTAAGCAATTCGGGACGCCCCATTAACAAACAAAAAACAGCACGACACTCGAGAAGTTAAAAAAAAATATACAAAAAATCATTTAAGCAAAAAGAAAAAAAATAATATTTAACTATTGATGGCATAACAATATTAAGATTAAGAGCAAATTAAAGGCGCGCGCGCGCGTTCGATCAACGATCACGTTTTATTATCAAAAAAACATCACTCGAATGGCTAATTTCATAAACAAACAGAATGAAATCAAGCGGCGCACACTTCTGACAAGCAAACACCAAGCAGGAACCCGATATATCTGAATTATACCATTATAATATATTCAAACGAATATCAACGCTCGTTGGGGAATTCGGAAATAGTAGTTTTCGGGAAGCGCATTCATGGGAAATGAGTGTGTTCAGTTGGGAAAAACCCACTAGAGCGATAAGCCCCATGAATAATATCCAAAAAAAAAATGAGTACATACATATGGGTATATATTTTAAATAGGTAGGGCCCAGAGGGGTCTTTGGAACTCCACAAAGTGAACTTTGTCTTCTAAAATAAAAAAAAAAGAGAGCGTATCTTGAAAATAGCCAACTCATCTCAAGTCAGCCAAAAGTTAAAGCCAAGTCTTAAAACCAAAGTTCACAAACTGCTTAGTTTATTAGCCATTTTCTAGCCAAGCATAGTCCATACATCTCTCAATCACTCATTCAATCAATCACTTATTCATGGCGATGAACACAGTCCGGCTTTCGCTGAAATTTCTCAATTGTCGTCACAAGTTTTTTTGGGAGGAAAAGTACCTGATCTTTGGCTGTTTACACAGCCAGAAAATGAGTTAGCAAATCATGGCAGATAAATTTGCATAAAATATGTAGATAATTATTATTCATTTTGGGGCTAATTTGTGGAGTTTTCTGCGAAGTGGAAAGTTTTTATTATGATTAGTCTTTGGGGGTAGTGGTGTTGAAACTCTATAGTTTGGATTTTTGAGAAAATAATATTATGATATATTAGTGAAATTATAAATTTATATTGAAGAGTGTTACTTTTGGAGTCTTAGGGAGTCTTATGAATTAAATTAAGGAGTTTTTTTTTACTGTATATTTTCAAAGAATAATATTTTTGAATGCATTTCTTATTATTAAGCGAAGTTTTTTAAGTTTTTTGTTTTAGAAATCGAGTTTTATTTAAATTTCGATTGAAAAAATTACTAAATTTTGTTAAAAAAAAACGGAAGGGTATTATTTTTAATGAAAATATTAGAAATTTTCTTTTCACAAAATTGATGTTTCCTTTAATCTGAGTTCTTAAAATAATATTTTAGGCTATTTTATATAGAATTTCCTTTGGTTTTTTAGAAAATCAACTAAAAACTTACAAAAAAAAAAACAAACTATTTGGCCCAAATATACTTTTTATTTTTAATTGAAGCTTTTGAACATATTTTTAAGAGAAATAATGATATTTTCCATTAAAAAAGCGTTAAAATGTTTATTTTCTTAATCATATTTACATTCCAAGAACCTCCTACATTTTCTTTCTCTGTACACAAATCTGGGAATCTTTCCCAGCCCCAAATGGCTATTGGGGGGATGTGTGTCAATATTAGCCAGAATATCCGCGGCTCTGCGTCAATCGCGGCGATTACGCCAACTAATTGTTGACATCTCAGTCGACGACGCAGCAGAGCAGAGCCGAGCAGATCGGAGCAGAGCCGTGAAAAAAAAGCAAAAAAAAAAAATTAAAAGAAACGTTACCCCATTTCCGATCGTATCCAATCTGATGACAAGGTGCTACAAGACCCTACCGACTGGACTGGACTGACGGACTGATAGAAGGAGTCTATTTTTAGGCACACGGCTCGGCTTGGCTCGGCTCGGAACAAATAATGCTGACTCGCTGTTCGATACTGAGAAACTGAGCGGCCTTTTGACGTCACTAAAAAACTGGCGGCATTCGCACTTCAAACAAAAACAAAAGCAAAACAACAACAAATTCAGAAAAAAAAAATTGATAGGGTTAATAGGAGGAGAAAAGGGGAGGGGCGGTTTTAACGATGTGATATGTTTGAGTTTTCAACGCTCATTTACGGTAAATGACACACACTCGCTGCGAAAAAAAAAAACACACACACAAAATAGAGAGGGGAGCGACTTAGGGCGGTTGGGCAGGCGACGGCACACGGGGCGTATACGTGATTCATGCCAACGAAGCGAAGCGAGCTGTGGATTCCCCCAAAAAACGCAACAGCCAAGGGGCATAGTGGCGGGGGCGCAGCCCACCCAAGCGAGGGAGGGCTAGAGTGGAACAGAGACAGAGAGCCTACGCCTCATGTGTATGAATGAAACGAGCGAGACGAAAGCCAAACGTACGTACGACGTCGACGACGACTACGTCACGAAGCTCACGAGAGCTGGAGTGTGGAGCTTGGTAGAGAGCGAGAGAGTAAGAGAGAGAGAGCGTAAAGGGGAGCAGAGCTGAGAGCAAAGGAGAGCGGAGTGCTTTTCACTTTCAGGCAGCGCAGTCGACGCCGTTCAGTCAACCCAAAAACAATTGAACCCCCCCTCCCAAAAGGGGGGTCTCCAATGTCATATAGATAATGCTTCAAGGCTGTTCTAGATATCATACCATAGGGTTTCAGGGTTTATAGAGTAAGAGATATATTCTTAAGATTTTAAAAATAAAAAAAAATTTTTTTTAAATAATAATTAATTTTAAATAATTTTTTTTTTTCATTACAGTTAAAACTACGACACGTGCATCGCGATCTACAAATGTATGTGGGCGCCTTCAGTTACCTGCGGCACGCGAAACTGCACTGGGATTATGCCAACCTGCAGGCCGAGAGCGTTATGTCCGCCGATCTGGAGCGCCTGCGCGCCTCCGCCCGACGCGCCCTCTGCAACGTCGAAATGGCCATAAATGCCACCAATCGACTGTTTCCCGCCCATGTCCCCGCCGGTCATAAGCTGCGACGCCCGATGACCCGCCAGCTGATGGAACGGAAGTTGCAAAAATTCAAAACACCTCTGGTGCAGTTGCATAGACAGGCGACCTTGGCCGCTGGGGGGGCAGAGATGATGCCACCCAATCTCCACTACGATCAGCTGACAAAGGATGCTCTCTTTGTGAAATTTAAATTCATTCAATACCTGAAGAGTATCCGTAAGATACTGAAAAAGCAGACAAAGCCGAAGAATACCAGTCACAATTCTCCACGCTATTCCACATAAAAAACGAGGCTTACATTCCATTTAAAAAACAACACAAAATCTTAAAACAACATCCTTAAAACATCCTTAATTTATTGAAAAACATCGAAAACCTATTTATTACGCAATCACGAATCACATTTATGGAATTATTCCACACAGGCTATGATATGACAACCGAATAATTGAAACAAACGAAGAAAAAAAGAATACATCCACAAATTATATATATTTTTATAAAAAGAAAACATAAAGACCTTAATATATATAGTTTTTTTTTTTTTTTTTATTTGTCACTTAGTCCTTAAGAGCCACAATTGTATTATTTATTATTTTTTGTGTCACATTCCCGAAACTATATTAATGTATGTAACTTTGCCTTGTATTACGATGCTGTGATAATAGATCTATAAATCCAGTGCAGAGACACCAATTATACAATTTATACGATACATGTATGGTATTTTAAATGATATACACCTCTTTAAAAGTTTAGCTTTTTAATGTAGTAAAACAAATTATAAAAAAAAAACAGAAATTTTTAAAAACCACATAGTTTTCTTTTGGGAAGAGGAGGGAGATAAAGATATCATATTATTTTCCCACAGAAATTGCGCATACGCCATGGTTACCCCATCATAGAAGGGGTTGGGGGTCTATTATTCCCTATTTTAATGGTCTAGCCGCAAAGTTTTAATTGCAAAGGGGTATTTACTCAAGCATTTATAGACTTGTTCAAATACTTTACGACCTTTTGGAAATAATAATTCTCTCAGTGTTTTGAACCTTTTCCCTATTCGTTGTCCCCTCTCGGTGTCGCAGCAATTTTTATGACATAAACCCCAAAGAGAAGAGAACCCCTTCTTATATATATTTGTGTGTGTTTTGTTTTTATCTCTAAAATGGGATCTACGCGCGATGCGCGCACCTATACTCTTTCGGAGTCTGGAGTCGCCATCCATATATCCCTTAAAACCTATCCCGATCCCCGGATCCCTGGATCCCTATCGCACACAATCAGCAATTGTCATTAATTTCGGACTCTGTGTGTCTTTTTTTTTTGTGGTCATGTACGTGCTCCGATTTGTCTGGAAGAATCTCTTTCCATTTTCCATTCTTCTACCGGGGGGGACTGGACTTCTGATTCAACAATTTAATACGACCGGAGAGGAGAAAAGGAGATGCCCCCATTTAAAGATGGTTATCACACCAATTTTATTATGTCCCTCACCCTTTTACCTCTCTCTCTTTTAATCTATCTATCTCTGTCTATTTCTCTAGAGAAGTCTGAGTGTCGCTGCACATGAGACTATGCCAGAATCCCATTCATAGTAGTAGCATCTTGAAACTACATACATACAGATATATATATTAGCACCTTCTCTTTTTTTTTTCCCAGCTCCTGCTTTGCATGCATCGTGCGTAGCCCTCTATATCCTTCTCTTTTCTGACCTCTATGGCCATCTCTGTCGGCGCGAAACCCTTTTCAGGTGCACGTAACGCATCTATCTTCAGTTTTGATAGGTTTTTATTGGCCTGACCTTTATTAAATTGAAAATTATGTCTTTCTATGAGAAATGTTGAAATTCCTTTGGGTTTCCCTTTTAAAGATGAACCCTATAATAATTCTTATCGGGTATATGAGGTTTTAGGAGTATTTGATTTGGAGTTCTTAGTTTTATGATTTAAAGTGATTATGTCCTGTTTTTAATTGAAAATATATTTTATTAGAATTTTCTCAAGGGTCATTATTGTGATTAGGATTTAATTGAAAGAAAATAGAGTTAATATTATGGTTTATTTTTGGAAAACTTACTTTGGAAAACTTTCTAAAAATATCTGGCTTGGAAAGAAATATAATATTAATATAATATTTTAATAACTATAGAAGAATATAATATAATATAATAAGAATAATATTTTCCTTAGACTTTATACCCCGAGATCTTGATACCAGTCCTTGATTCTCTAAGTTTAGTGTAGTTTCTTAAACTTCTCTACTTTTTATTATAATAAAACTATTAATATTTCATATATCTTGAAATAAATGATCAAAACATACTTTATAAGCTTTTTATTAAATTAAAAAAATATTTCTGGGCTTTTTAACTCAAGATATACCTTTTTAAGATAAAATCCTATGTCATAAACCTAATCTTGACTCCAAAAAAGGTTGCAAAAAAGAGAAAACCACCGTAAAGCTTCAATAAAAATATTTGTCTTTAAAATTTGAATTTTCTATTTCAAAAATATTATATTAAATTATACTTTTATTTGAAATTATAAATAACCTATAACCATAATAACCAAATAAACTCCCTACCATTTTCCAGGGTATCCTCCTCTTCTCAACCCTGATTTTAATCTGATTATTACTGAATGAACTTTTGCGCCTGCCACTGATCTAATCTAAATGTTTATTTTTTTTGTCTGTTTCATATATATAAGGAATATGTTTATATATTTCTGTTTATATTTTTTCTGTCCCCATCACCGGTCACGTGCAACTGTTTTTTTTTTGTCTCCAACTCGGCGGCAATTAATTAAAAATATCTTATTTCATTTGTTTTGTTTGCTGGCTGGCTGGCTGGCTGGCTGGCTGTTGTCCCTCTTTTTATATTTTTGTATTTAAGTTGTATTTTTGAGTTATGTTTTCCGCTGCAGATTTACTTTCAGATAATGGGCGTTACATTTATGTTCCCTTAAAATGTTACCAGTTTTTTTGTTTGTTTTTTTTTTTTGGGCCAGGGAGGGAGAGAGGTATGGATGACCACCCACCAAGGTTGTGAGGAAACAAGTTCCGATTACAGAGTCTTAGATGGATTCTCCCACGATTTCAAATTTCAAATCAACAAAGTCAGCAAAAATCAGCGAATGTGGGAAATTACGGAAGATTTGGTCGTCCAGTAGATCAGAAGAAGGGCTTCCCAGTCTTGAAGGTGTTGAAATCTTCCGACAAATTGCAAATCAGCTATTTCACAGAATCACCACAGCTGTCTTTGAGGTTGAATCTGAATCTAAATCTGAATCTGAGAGATGCTGATGCTGACACAAAAATCTATATTCCAAGAAACCTTAAAAAATAAACAGAGGTAAGCTTTGTAGGTTTCTTCTTTTTTCTTTTAATTTTATTTATTTTATAATAATTATTGTCTTTAGAGAGTAATGCTATAGAATTGTAGCCGTCTAAATGGCGCCTTGGCCCAAATAAATTACAAAACCCACGACGCACCTTTTTTTTTTGGCATTTGTTGGAATGAAAAGGTGTACTTTAGTTGCAAAATGTTGAACAATTGTCCAGAAACCCCGACACAACCCGACACAAATTATGAAAGAAACCCCATAGAATCAACTATAACATTTTCAGATCAAAGGTGACGCGCCCACTTTACAAAAACGACAATTGAATTGAAAAAAGGACAAAGGACACTGCTGCCGTTGGAAGGGAGGTCCAGCAGCTGGACAATCACACAATAAAGTGATCAGTACTCCCCCCCCCACACACACATTCTGGCACTCATAACAGAACAATGACAAAAATACCATTTAATTGTGAATGAATGGAAAACGCTCTTGACCTTTTGCGGCTATTTGGGATAACAGTTGCCGCTTAAGTTGCTCCATCACCCCCCGAACCCCGTCGCATATATGTATCCTTGTGCAAAAAAGGTGATCGAGATCACAAGCACCACCCAGGTGAGAAAATTTCCAGCCCGAAACAAATTCCAACGACAATGGTATTGTTATAATTAATGGCCAACTTGGCGCCAGACTTTTCCCGGTCGAGACTTGGTCGAGTTCCACACAAAAAAGGAAAAAAGGCTCAACATTAAAATCAGGGTATTCACGAGGGAATATTTATTTGTGGAGATAGGTAGCCTGCACTAGGAGTACAATATGTAGTTACATAACATGGGAATTACATAAGAGTAATAAAAATTATGACAAACAAGATAATGACTGAGCTTGTAAAGAGTCCATGCCATTGCGGCGACTTATATGGCTTATAGCTACTTAGTAATAGTAGTTCTTTTTGCGAAAATGCTAATATTAATTTGTGTACAAAACAGTATTCGTTTACGATTACAATACAACGTGATTTTGTTCACTTACCGAACTTATCAACTCAAAAAAATATATACACAGGCTTTGCCTTTGATACCATGAGTCTTAATTGTATCTCACTGCCTTACATATTGTATTGAGCTTGAGGACTTATTTCCCAACACCTGCCTTCAAGGTACGCTCTTTGGAGCGGCTTCCATTCATATATTTTTATATTAATAAGCAAAATAGAGCTTCCTAGTTTCTTAATTTGGATATTCTAATATGGAGAGCATATGGAGATTCCCTACATTTTTCAAGGAGTCCCAGAAGAAATTTTTCGAAAAAAATCAATTTCGTCTCGGGAATTTGGTGCAGAAAGGTGGAGAATCGATCAAGAAATCGATTAAGGTACTCCGCTTGAGAATCGGATGAGAATTGGGGAAGATATAGCCTCGCTGTGGACCCTATAGGGGAAAACCGCATTTCCAAGGGATCCCATCAGGAAAAATGGACAAAAAATCTAAAAAATATTTTGTCTCGGGATTTTGATGCAGAATGGTGGAGAATCGATCTAGAAATCGATTAAGGTACTCCGCTTGAGAATCGGATGAGAATTGGGGAAGATATAGCCATCGCTGTGGACCCTATAGGGGAAAACCGCATTTCCAAGGGATCCCATCAGGAAAAATGGACAAAAAATCTAAAAAATATTTTGTCTCGGGATTTTGATGCAGAATGGTGGAGAATCGATTTAGAAATCGTTTAAGGTACTCCGCTTGAGAATCGGATGAGAATTGGGGATGATATAGCCATCGCTGTGGGCCCTATAGGGGAAAACCGCATTTCCAAGGGATCCCATCAGAAAAAATGGACAAAAAATCTAAAAAATATTTTGTCTCGGGATTTTGATGCAGAATGGTGGCAAATCGATCTAGAAATCGTTTAAGGTACTCCGCTTGAGAATCGGATGAGAATTAGGGAAGATATAGCCATCGCTGTGGACCCTATGGGGGATAACCGCATTTCCAAGGGATCCCATCAGGAAAAATGGACAAAAAATCTAAAAAATATTTTGTCTCGGGATTTTGATGCAGAATGGTGGAGAATCGATTTAGAAATCGTTTAAGGTACTCCGCTTGAGAATCGGATGAGAATTGGGGATGATATAGCCATCGCTGTGGACCCCATAGGGGAAAACCCCATTTCCAAGGGATCCCATCAGGAAAAATGGACAAAAAATCTAAAAAATATTTTGTCTCGGGATTTTGATGCAGAATGGTGGCAAATCGATCTAGAAATCGTTTAAGGTACTCCTCTTGAGAATGGGATGAGAATTGGGGAAGATATAGCCATCGCCGTGGACCCTATAGGGGAAAACCCCATTTTCATGGGATCCCATCAGGAAAAATGGACAAAAAATCTAAAAAATATTTTGTCTCGGGATTTTTACGC